AAGTCCTCTCAATATATTGATTTTTCTTTGATTAATGAATTTTTTTTTATTTATCATTTAACCTAAAACCTATGTTTATCCCAATATACCTTTTATTTCGTTGATGATTTCCCTTAAGTAAAGAATTTCTTTATTTTTTTTTTTTTTTTATTAATCATTTTATGCTCCTTAAACCTAAGTTTTTGTTAAAATCATAATATGCTCCGAATTACCCTCCTTATGGTTTACGTTTATTTAAAATCAAAATTTTGATGAAAGTAATAAAAACTTTTCTTAACATTTGTTCATATAATGGGCCTGTCACACTTACCTTCTCTAAGCAATCGTTTCATTTTTGAAAAAAAAAGACTTTAAAAACCTACTTTGTTTCCCGTCATAGAAACTCAAAAAATTTAAGATTTGAAAGCAATTTTTCACAGTTATATTTATTTTGTTGTTGACTCGCAATTTTATAAATTTATAATCGTTTTAAAAAAAAATTAAATAAATTTCGAAGTAGCGAAGAAAAAATGGGTACCAGGCAGTTGTATGCTTGTGATTTTGAAGTGTTTGGCAAAGTTCAACGTGTTTTTTTTCGCAAATATACCGCGAATAAGGCTAAAGACTTGGGCTTACATGGCTGGTGCAAAAATACATCAGAGGGAAGCGTCAAAGGTCAAATGGAGGGAACGCAACAAGAACTAAATGAAATGAAATATTGGCTACAGCATAGGGGAAGTCCAAAATCAAGAATCGATGGTGTAAACTTTAGCGACATGATACCCACTAATATGTACACACTCAAATCATTTGAAATACGTAAATAATTCTCTATATCTGTCTTTTGTACATAAAAATATGTGATTTTAAAAAACAACATTCTTCCTTTGGCAATGAATAAATACGTAAATATGTGAATATGAAATGCATGTAAATGATTTTCAAGGGCAAACGTCCTAATTTCAATTTTTTTGTATTGAAACGTTAAACGATTTGTTTGTTAAGCGTCATGAAATTTCAATTTCAAGCAAGAAAGCAAACAATTCCCATTCGAGCGAGTGTTGATCACTGGATAGAACAAATCCCGCTTGGGCTCTAAAAATGAAATCCGAAAGATATCAATGATCTGGAACACTTTCTAAATAAGCAGAAAAAATTTGGCGATACCTTGGCTAGGTCATAGGTGGCGAAGGTACATTCCGAGACTCTCGGGGCGTGTTTCTCTTTTTACTACATTTGCCAAATCTTCTTCTTCTTCTGGAATACAGAAAGTAGGACGGGGCAGGTGACTCATTGTTCTGAATAAAAAAAGACTTGACAAATGTTTGTAATCCTTACAAATTAACATAGGAGGTCTTGAAAAATAATTAATATGGATATATCTGCCTGTATATCATCTCTTATTGAATTGACAATTTTGGCACTAGTGTTTAGAAGAGCATAGAATCTTAGATAAAATTTTTTCTTCTTATTCCCACATTACATTCAGTTTGAAAATCATCAAATATCGGATCATAGGCCCGTTTGAAATCATCAAGATAGGTGTTCTCTAAGCCAGTGCACCTCTTTAAACCTCTTTTCTTGATGAAGATGAGATATTACTTTTAAATTTTGCCTTATTATGTTATATTAGGGATATAAAGTCTAAGGGTCTAAAGTCTTAAAGCACTAGCATTCTAAGGCTATCGGCTTTTTTGAAAACTCTACCGTACTTGAGAATCCACGACCATTTAGTTGTTAGACGCAATCGTTTTGTTACTTGGCCACTCAGGCTTATTACATACTTTCAAATTTAAACAAGCATGAAAACTATATTGAATGATGACCGAATCTTTTATACCCATCATCGCTATCCTGAGGAAGACGAGAAAAGGAAAAGAATCTTGGATTTTCGTTGCATAAGCACTTGGACGCTGTAGGCATGTCCATGGACAAGATTAAGTCATTTTCAAATTCTTTTGCAAATTCTCTTCTCGAGAAATAAGAAAAATGAACAAATTATTTTTTTTTATACAATTTCAATTTCAAAATTATCAATTAAAATTTCATCAAAATATTTCAAAAATTCCGACATCGAAGATGCATGATGACATCAGTACGGAATCAGTCGAACAGATGCACACGGCAAGACCTAAATTGATTTATAATCAATAAAAGTTGAATCAATCTCAAATCGGTCTGTTGAATGTTGCATATATTTTAACAAACTTAATATAACCATATCACAGACGATAAAATGCATAACTAATTGAAATAAGAAAATACTTCCGGCTTGTAAGCTGCATTTAATTTTGAAGCAAAGCCCAAATCAATCCACTCGCTATATCAATGGTATATATCGTACATATTTTGAATTGCACGAAATATTATATTGTATTGTACACATTTTATACGATTTTTTTACGATTTCGTATAAATAAATACAAATAACTCTCATAGGCTGAATGACATTCGCCATTGACTTATATTATATTAAAAGTGCATATGCAATCTCCATAAGTCAGAAATATATATATTTCCTTATTAAAAAATATTCCAAAACAAAATTTAGCAATTAATCCACACAATCGTGATTATCATTAATTTTTTTACAAAATTTAAAAATATATATCATATGTATACTAATGCAGCACAAAAAAATGAGAAACTTCTATTTTCGTATTTCAAACGATTTGAATCCATAGGTCTGAATCGGTCTCATATCACTAAAGTTTACGCCATCGATTCTTGATTTTGGACTTCCCTTATTCAGTAACCAATATTTCATTTCATGTAGTTCTTGTTGCGTACCCTCCATTTGGCCTTTAACGGTTCCCTCTGATGTATTTTTACACCATCCGTGCAGCCCCAACTCTTTGGCTTTACTTGCGGTATATTTTCGAAAGAAAACACGTTGAACTTTACCATATACCTCAAAATCGCAACCATACAATTGTCTAGTACCCATTGCAAAAGCTTGTAAATCTCACTTCGAAATTTGTCTGCTTCTCAAATGTATAGATTTTCTAAAAGATTTCAAATATTTCTCAGAAAATTGTGTAAAATTTTCTTGCAATTACGAAAAGAAACGAAATATGCTTTCTTTGACAAATTTTCAAAATAAATATGAAAACTTTTCTAAATGCACATACATATATCAAAATTTGAAAAGTCAAAGATATATAAATTTCTCTAAATATCTTCGTTATATCTTATTTACAAGATATTTTTTTGAAATTTTATCCCGAAAGGCCTTCCCATCTTATTTAATATTTTTATTTATCATTTTAACCTAAAACCTAAGTTTATCCCAAAAAGCCGCCTATTTTGTTTTATTTTCTTTGATGTATGAAATTTTTTTATTTATTGTGTAACCTAAAACCTGAGTTTATCCCGAGAAGCTTCTCATTTTGTTTATTTTTCTTTGAGTAACGAATTTTTTCTTTGTTATTCATTGTTATTATTTTTCTTTAATTTTTTTTGTATTAATTATATTAACCTAAAACCTACGTTTATCCCGAAAGGCCTTCCCATTTTATTTAATTTTTTTTATTCATTATTTTAACCTAAAACCTAAATTTATCCCAAAAATCTTCTCATAGTGTTTATTTTTCATTGATTAATGAATTTTTTCATTTTTTTATTTATCATTTTAACTTAAAACCTAGGTTTACCCGGAAGTACTCACATTTTGTTTAACTTTTTTATTAATCATTTTGACCTAAAACCTAATCCTTATCCCATTGTGTTTATTTTTCTTTGATTAGGGAATTTTTTTTTATTTATCATTTTAACCTAAAAGTTAAGTTTATCCCAAAAAGCCTCTCATTGTGTTTATTTCTCTTTGATTGGGGAATTCTTTTTTTATTTATCATTTAACCTAAAACCTAAGTTTATTCCGAAAGGCCTCTTATTTTTTGTATTCTTCTTTGATTAGGGAATTTTTTTATTTTTTTACTAATCATTTTAGCTTTAAACCCAAGTTTATCCCGAAAGGACTTTTATTTTTCTTTGATTAAGGAATTTTTTTATTTTTTTTACTAATCATTTTAACCTAAAATAATTTTATGCCAAAAAGCGTCTCATTGTGTTTATTTTTCTTTGATTGGGGAATTTTTTTTTATTTATCATTTTAACCTAAAACCTAAGGTTATCCCAAAAGTCCTCTCAATATATTGATTTTTCTTTGATTAATGAATTTTTTTTTATTTATCATTTAACCTAAAACCTA